TAGCTGCCAACAAATGCCTGAACACTGGGCCGAGGGTAGGAAAGATAGTGGGTGAAGCCTTTTTTAGGGGATGTAGCAGGCGCGGGAATGGACTGAGCTGCACTTTCAGTTGCAGGGATGTCAGAAGAGGGTGTCCCTACTGGAGGACTAAGCTTTTCTGATGGAGATGGAGGAGGTGGAGAGGTAGTGGGTGCTTCAATACTTTTAGCCTCTGCCACTGGAGACAAAACAGGAATGTGGTTGCGAGTTGTTTGAGGCACAGCACTGAGAATGGGCTCGGAAACAGGATCATCCCCTCCTCCGGGCTGCTGTGGCAGCGGCGGCGGCAGCCTGTTGTCACCTTCTTCCACTGGTGTGCTGGTACCAAAGTAAGTATTGATGTGCTGAGCCAGAGTTTTGTAGGTCTCATCCATGTTAGTGGACAGACCTGCTGGGTGAAACAGCTGCATAGTTTGTTTCGCCACGTTCGAGGAAGAGCTCGGAGCAGACACATTTGTTGCTGAAGCTAAACTGGATGTGGACTTCTTTGTGGCAACAAACGGATTTTCTGTAACTTGCTGGCGTTGCTTGTCTGACTCCTCCTCTGCTGTGCTCCTCTCGCCTTCTTCTTCTTCTTTCATGGTGGTTTCAGGAGGAGAGGCGGTAGCTGTATTAGAGGCTAAGGTCTCTGCTTTGACCAGGGCCTTTTCCACATGGGTGCTGTCGACTGTGGCACTGCCAGGCTTGAAGCGGGAAAACTTGGAGATGAGGTCTGTGCTGCCTACTGCCTTGGTGACGCTGTCGAGCGTGGTCCTGATTCGCGACATGCGTTTGCTGGCTCACTCTGAACTTAAGTGGAGAACTTTAAGTTATTCAGGAAAAGGATTATGCTTAATGTCTGCGTAAAATGATGCAGCATGCTGGCAGACTACCTGCCATCAGCTACAGGTGGTTTCAGTAGAATTCCATTTTGGAAATTTACTGCTTGTTCCAATTTTTCCTGAAAAAGAAAAAAAAAAGACACACAGCACAAATTATTTTTTAATAGAAACATATTTTCATAGGAGAAAACATATTACACTGCAAATGGAAAGTGGGCCAACAGAGGGCTCCATTTGACACCCTATCCATCCTGGTAGCCATGGAAACTGTTAGAGCAACAAGAGCTGATGCGAACAGCTTTCACAAAATAACAACTTAAACCCCCTGATGCCATGTCTGATACTGATTGTTACAAAGACAAGATTGGAGAGGACCGACATTCATTAAATATGAATTTCACAACAGAGTCAGCGCTTCTGGTGAAAGCTTTGCTGGACAGACACCGCCGCACTGTCATGAAGGAGCAGGTGGATAACTCCGCCGACAGTGAGACGACGAGGAATGTAAGCTGGGTTGCTTGCAAAGACTTTACAGTCGAAGTGGGGAAAAAGCAGATTGGGGAGTATATTCAAACCTGGGAGATGCAGCCCTGCTGGCTTTACAGTCTGGACTTCCTCTACTCAACCGAGGAGGAGCATGATACCTTCCACCACTACCGGGCCCGCTTTAGTACCCCGACCCCGCGGAAGCCGATTCAGGGGACAGCTAGCGTCTACTTCGTCGTGGACATATCTAAAGTCAAACCCCAAACTCTGCCCGTGGAGGTGCTCTTCGTGGTGGAGTCCAACAGGTTGGTGCACACACCCGGGAGGACCAGGTTCAGAGAGAAGTGGCTGGCGGACGTTATTGAGAGCAAGACTTTGCTCCAGAGGGCGGTGGACCTTTGAACACCCAGGAGGGGAAGATTTCTCCGCACTAACTCACGTTAATTTAACTGTTTGCTGGCTACATTATATACCATTAAATCCCACAGGATGGCTGTGACTTGTCTGTTGCCCTAACGAACATCAACCCACTTTTAAATAATAGAAGGTAGCTTGCTGAAACATGGATATAAAACGAGCTGACTAGTGTTATCTAACAGTCTGTTATTTCATTAAAGTTACCGCTAGCTAGTTCCGACTTGTACGTAACACAGTGACGTTAACAGTTCGCTAAGCTAGCTTTAACGTTAAAGCACATATTAAATGTTTCCAAGACAACGAAACTGTCTGTGTTAACTACATAATATGTCTAACACATTTAGCTGAAGGAACAAACACCTCATGGCCATGATGTTTTACCGCTAGCTCGCTGAACAGACAGCTGACAATGTTGTACACTGAAACTCGTTACATTAGCCGCTGTTAGCCCAGCGTTGGCTAATTTAATGATGTCAGTTTGTCGAAGTGTACGCAGTGTCACAAAATTAGCAAATATCTTCTTCTTACCATACGAAACAGAGCCGGTTAGATAGGCTGCCAGAACATTTAATTCAATGTGCCGCTGGTACAATACATGTATGAGTGCTGGTGACAAAAAAAATAAACAGGAAGGAGAGAGGAGGTGACGTAGTGCCCTTCGTTACAGTGCAATGCTTTATTTGTGCCACTAGATGTCGACAAAACATCTTTGAAATATAAAGAACATCTATTTAAATACAGAGAATCCACAACACGGTATGTGCAGTGTAAATAATAACATGTTAATGCATGACAATGATGATTTGATAATCCTATTGTTCTGTGGATGTGGTCTGGGTTTGCTCTTTCAGCAACATAGCCGGCAGCAGTCATTCTGTAAGCATTTCAGCACCATGGAGAGCAACAGTTAATCCATTTGTCATAGTGAAATGAACATCATGGTTACACCAGTGCATTGCAACATTATAAAACATGGAGTAAAATATCTTGGTGACCATTTGTGTCAGAAAATAAAAAAACCTGAATCTGTCTGCCTAATTGAGATGTTTAGGCATTAGGCATTAGGCAAGATCTCATGCCCTGTTTTCCTTAGCTTGAAGTAATCAATGATTCAACAAAGTTAGACTTCAGACATGGAGAAGCCATTTGTCTGTTTACTTGGGTCATGATTTGTGACATAAAAAGAGGGACATGTCATGTTGAAAAGGTTTTTTTGAAATGAAATATATTAGAGTTATTTAAATCCATTTAAGCGCTATGAATACTAATGCAGTGCACAATTAACGGTCCCTCTTTCTCAATTCTCATATACACTCCCCACTGTTTATAATGACTTTAAACTCTGTGCGGCGACACAGTAGTTAAGAGCCAATGCACAATTCTATTTAAAAGGTCAATTGCTCTCAATGATTCACATACTGCACTTCTGGCACTCAAGATGAATCAAAGCCAACAAGATTTGTGGTATAACATCACCTAGCTTGTGTGGGCCTGATGTTCATGGTATTTCAGTGCTTGGAGTGCCATAGGTTGGTATGTAATACATTTTCCATCTGCCAGATCCAGCCAGAGGGCTGCCCTGGTAAAGGTTAGTGGAAGTGCTCTTTCAAAAGGATCTAGTTTGCATGGAGGCGATGAAACACTTATTTGTGCTGAGAATTTCAGTTGAAAGAAACTTCTATCGAGAGGCAAAGTGGCTGGAAATAGAATCATCGGGTGGTAACAATTATTAAAGGTTGCGTGTGGGAAATAGGATGGTTATTGGCCTACTCAGGTCAGAGTACGGTGGAAAGAAAGAAAAGTGTCACTTTTACTGAGAGTGCTAACAGTGCAAAAAATGTCTCACGTCTCTGTAGCACAATATTATATTTATTTATACCATTGTATCATACAGGCACAACATAATGGCATGTTCAAATAGAAAGTAAGTTTATTGTTGTGTCTACTATTGCTATTGCTTTGGAAGACCTCCAGCTCTTTCATGTACAATATGCAGAAAACAAAAGGGATTGCGGCTGGGTGAGTGACAAGACTAAAACACTATAATCTTTTTCTGCTTTATGCCCACGCCACCCTACCTATTGTGTAAGATGAACACCCTGCATAACCTAAAGGGATCATGTAATTTCTTTCATTTGTCATGAGTGAAATGGAGGCCACACAACTTTTGTTCTCACTGCTCCAACATGGAGATTATACTGTATATGCCCCTGGCATCTAAGCACAATTTAAAAGTATTTAGAAAAAAAATAAAGATACATTGACAGCAATTTTCTGTATGGTGTATGTAGTGGTGCTGTAAAAGAACACGCCACAGATTTTAGACATGAAGGTTGGCTCATGTGAAAACTATTGTAGCATTATGATCTCTGTGACTCTGAGAAGTCTGAAAAAATTACCTTAATGGCGTCATCAGGGTTGTTTTGAATCGGGTTTGAAACAATTATTTGACACAACTGGGGGTATAAAGTTTGAAAGATGTCGGCATTGAACAGACAGCCAGGGTTTAAAAAAAAAAGTTGAAAGTTGCATTATAGGAACTAAAGAATGAAATATAGAACAAAAAAATGTATTTCATGAGCCCTTAAACCTAATGAAGGAGTAGCCTTTTAATTAATATTTCACACTGCAAGTTCAGCTGTAAATACATGTTATGTGTGTTGTTTGACAGCCTTCAACTCATATTTCAGGTGTCTTATTTGGTTGACTGTTTAACAACAGTTTAAGCATCAAGGTTCAACTGTCATGATTCTGCGTATGTATAACTGTCACTGATCCAACAACCACCTAATAGGGTTTACTCATTCCCACTCCTTTTACATACAAAATAACTCTTTCTGTGTACTGCAGTGCATCGGCCTTAACATCGGATGGGCCACACACACACTCTCGCCTTAAGGAAAGTTAAGATGTTTGACAGTAGGACAGCTGTATTCAGTCAAGGACAATATTTGACTAGCTTTTCTGCTGGCTCTTATATTTCTTTCTCTACCTCCGTAATCTAAGTGTCAGGGCTGTAATGGCAATTCCTATAGTGCAATTACTATGAAGCCCACCCCCAAATAAAATCAGTGGAGTATACCATTTGTTTTCACAAATAAGATGCAAAAAATTGAATGGCATTATTAAAGGTGACCTTCTATTCTTTCCTTTATTTTCTGTCATACATTATGATCAGCTATAACATTATGAGCCCTGACAGGTGAAGTGAATAAGTCCAGGCAGGGTCAGCTAATTGGACGGCTAGCTGCACGGCTGAATGAGCTAGTACTAGCAGTAGTTAGTGGCTATGGTAGCTAACCCCCAACAACAAGTAAAGATCTCTATTCATCAGAAAACTCTGAAGAAACTCAAACAGCCAGAAGACTGGGAAAACCAGAAATATGTTCTTTATAAAATATGATCCTGTCTCATCAAAATCAAAGTTGTGTTTTTGTGTTGTAATCAGTGAGGCCTGGCACCCAGAAACACTTCCCTTCGGCAGCAGCTATCATTTTTCCAACTCTTATCTTACTTGTGATCTGATAAACACTAAATTCATCAAATTCAGTGCCCCATGTTGCTATTTTCCAAGCTAAGTTACTGTAGCTGTCATACACCATCAGCACACCAGCAAGAGGATGAGGAGGTGCTCACAAGAACTGGCTGCTCCCTTTTGGCAGGCATCTGGAAGTTAGCCAATCAGAAGATAATGGGCTTATATGGTGCCTTAAAGAGACAGGCGTTAAAACAACTTGTTTCAGACAGGATGAACTGAGGGGCTGAATAAGGGCCAATATAAGATAAATAAGGAGTTTTTTAAAAACTGTGAATTATGCAAAGTTAATCGAGTGCGGTCCCAGAATAGAAATATAGAGCTGTAAATTAGCACAATAGGTCTCCTTTAATCTGGGATCTACTGCGATGAAGAGATGATGATCATTTACACACGTAGTTTGACATTTAACATTCTATTACATTACTAAATAATACATTTGAATACTTACAAGTATGATCATTGTGGTCTAATACACACATTGGCAATAGATCTGATTAACATTGCTGAAACAATTCTTTGGATCTGAAAAGTAAAGTTAAGATGTATAATAATAGAACATAGATATTTTGATTACCTGTTAAAGGGCCATGTGAAGATGAATTAGAGATTAATATTGATGATTAATTAAAGTTCAGTTCATTTCACTTTGCATTTAGAGGTTTTGGTTTTGAGGATTAGAGCTTTTTAGAATTTATTTTTTATTTGCATTCTAGTCTTGTGTTTATTTCTGTATCTCGTAAGGCTGACATTGACATTCAGTCGCCACTGACCCCCCTCACCCCTTCAAGTGGATGACTTTCCCTTCTCACAGCCACCACAGTCACTCACACCACACACGCGCAAAGAAGGAAAATGTCGAGACGTATCTGCGCCAACACTGCAATATTGCAACTCCTGGAACATGCAACGTTGATTGAACCCTGAAGTTACGGGACCAACAGGACACATCAGGAATTTGCGCTTAAATGGATCCCAGAAGCAACAGCTCTGAAAAGGCACCAGATGAGGATGGAGAAGTGCATGGACATTTTGCGCTCATCAGAGCTGGGATTTTGGGTTTGATTTTTGTGCTCGCAACATGTGGAAATCTCTTCTTCTTAGGCACACTTTGGAAGAAGCGAAAAAGAAACACGAGGACCCAGCTGTTCCTACTGCACTTGTGCTTGGCGGATCTGGTGGTCGCATTCTTCCAAGTCCTACCGCAATTTCTCATTGAAATTACGCACAGGTTCCGAGGCACAGACTTCCTGTGCCGGTCCGTAAAATACTTGCAGGTGGTTGGGATGTTTGCCTCCACGTACATGATGGTGGCTATGACCATAGACCGGTACCATGCGGTTTGTAAGCCGATGGTTTCCTTCTTAAAGGGTTCATTTAGGAGATACCTCTCCATAGGCGCAGCGTGGCTGATCTCCCTCGCCTTCAGCTCTCCTCAGCTCTTCATCTTCTCTCTCCAGGAGGTGGAGGAGAACCAGTACGACTGCTGGGCGACATTTATAGAACCGTGGGGGAGCAGGATCTATATCAGCTGGATCACCCTGTCGGTGTATGCCCTGCCTGCCGTCATTTTGCTCTATTGCCAGTTAAGAATATGCACAACAATCTACTTCAACATGAAGAGAAAGGCGCTGCAGGCCAGGCGCACGGGCACGAATGGGGTGTCCAACGCGAAGTTGAAGACTGTGAAAATGACATTTGTGATTATAATGACTTATACGGTGTGTTGGAGCCCATTCTTTGTTGTGCAGTTATGGTCTGCATGGAGCCCCAGCAGTGCGCCCACTAAAGGTTCGTCCAAATGCTGTCCAGGAGGTCCCCATCCAAAGGACCAAAGATGCCTGCCACATTATATTTAATGTCACTGTGGTGTGGGCCCACCTTATACATTAATAACGAATGAGATATTCTTCAGAGCCAGTGTTCAGTTGTTTACACATTTCTCTCTTTCTCTAACAGGTCCAGTGTTTGCAATCATCATGCTGCTGGCCAGTCTCAACAGCTGCACCAACCCTTGGATATATCTCTACTATAGCTAAAATCATTTTTAAAAAAAGAGGCAAAGCTTTATGAACTAATACTTATATGGATGTTTCATATCAAGGCATAGATACAAGCCTGGGCCTGATGAAGTCTGGATGGGTCATCTGGATGAGGATACCTGACACCCAGAAAACCCCCAAAAAAGTTCAGCATAGATCTTGTGTTTCAATCTGTGTTAGCTGTTGTGTAATGCTCTTTCATGAGCACTATGGCCACAAGCAAATTTGTAAAAAATAATAAAGAGGACTGAAATTCATTGTGTCATCACTTTCATGCTACAAATTCTGACTGTATATGAGTATTAGATTGAATTTCTGTTGGTATTTTACAGTATTTTGTGAGTTAATACTATGTTTTCAATGTTCTGACAAATAAAACATTAATTGTGCATTAAAGAAAACATACTGTATATGTTTTTGCAGAATAGTTTACAGCTGTGAAACAAGCTAAGACATATTCCTTGTTTAATGCATATTTAAATATGGCAGCGTAAGTATCTTTTCCTCCAGGAGTAACGATACTTGCGCAGAGCACAACACTGTCTTTCATTCAGTTCTGGAGCAAATTATGTGCAAAGCCTTTAAAAAAAATACCCATTAAAAAGCCACACATATTTGTACTTATTTTAACTATAATGTAAACTGCACACATGAGCTACCCGCATCGCTTCCTTTCGCTTTGCCTTTTTGTATGATCACAAATAAACACAGCTATTCCTGATTTTCAATCTAATAAATAAATAATTTTTTGCCTACAATACGTAGAGCAGCATTTGTTTCGGTAGCAGAGATGTAAAGCACCTGTTGGAATTTGTTACTACTCTGCTCCTAAAGAGATCATCTGAGGAACACAGTGAGATTAAGTGTTTTCATTTTTGAAAATGCTTTTAAAATGGACATTAATAAAAAGACGGCTGTATCATCTTTTGCTCATTTTATCCTTGCTCTCGTTCTATTATTATCATTTTAATCCTTATTTCCTTTTTTTATTGATTGTGACTTTGGTAATATTGCACATTTCCAGACAAAGACTTGTCTTATTGCTTCACTGTACTTTGAGACCTGCACACTTATCTCTACAGGATTTGGTCAATGCCAAGAGATCTCATCACAGTACATTAGTCCCCTAATGCACTGTGATGACGTTTTGTTTTCCTGACAAGAGGTGGAGCAACAGGCTTACAACAATTTCATTTCATTACTAATTTCGAGAATCCATTCTCTTAATCCTTGCTGCAGCGGAGGCCAGTGTCAGTCTTCACCAGGGAGGGAAATGTGTCATCCTATAACCTTTTAATGTAATGCAACACCCTGGAGTCATTTTAAATTGCACTTCACAAATCCTTTCATGTGTGCAATTAATCATTTTGTAATATATATTTGAAAACTAATTTAGCCTCCCTTCTGCCTTTCTCTCTCTCTCTCTCTCTCTCTCTCGCACAGCTGGTGTGGAAATCTAAAGTGTGTTAAATTAAAGATCTTTACTCCACCTTCAGCATGAGTGTCTACTGCCTTTGTAGCCTAATTAAAGTCTCAATGTAACGCAGTCACGTAATGCTATGCTCAATGAACAGCACAACAGGTGTTTTTATCTCTTGGACAGTTTAATCCTATTTTCATGTGGTGTGGGTTCAAAATATGATGTTTTAACATGGTCACAATCCGCTTTACACTGTTCCACAGATTCTGTGACAAGGCCTGCTACAGTCCAGATGCAGCCTATGGCGTATTTCATTCTGGAAAGCTGCTTCAAATAAGATTAGGTATCTCACTCGGCCAAAATACTATGATGACTAAGTCAGGGCCGTACGGTGGAAAAGTGGCAGATAAATCCTGCTGCTGGTTCATGTTCATGTCATTGTGGGGTTTAAAACAATCACAGGGGACATAGTGGACACAAACGCAGCCCCCAGAGTGGCACATGCTTTAAGAAACATATTTAAGGTACACTTTATTCTACTTCAAAGCAAATCCATCACTGGTTTTTCTGTAAAGCAGAATATTTTTTGAGTTGCAGGAAATTGCACAGAATGACGGGCAATCAAGCACAGCACAGAAATATAATGAGCCTCTGCTTCCACGGACATGATTGCTGGTGACTCCAGGACACTGGAGGCATTGCATGTACAACATGTGTGAATGATGTTGTTTGAACAAGGTCAAACAACACAAGAATTGATTTAATGTGTATCAACACAGCGAGAAGTAGCTGTTGCAGTCAAATAAATACCAAAGCTTAAGAGGAAACAGGCAGTTGTGAATCCAGGTATTGATTCATGGTGAGCCCATAAAAATCCCCATTAACATTTCATTTCAAAAAAAAAAAAAAAAGCACTTTTGCACCATGAAATGATATAATGAACCAAGAAAGTGTGATAAAGGCAACTGTCAAACACAGACCAGGGGATAAAATACATCAACGCTGATGGCATTGCGTAATAAAAGCAAAAGAGCCATTAATAAGTTAGGATACGGTACCGATCACTTCAGAGATCCAATTGTGTAGACACCTAACAGAAAATCTTGGATATGCATTTGTAATGCACAACAGAGAGCTGCAGAAAATCAAGGCTTCAGTTTGGCTTTGAACCACTTCCTGTAAAGACGGTCACACAGTGCCACCATGTGGACAAAAACAAATATACAACTGTAATATGGAAATTTGAGAACAATGTCACAGAACACTGAGCACCAATAGTTTTTATAAGACACAATTTTAACTGATGTGCTTTATATATGGGAGCATGTGCAACATAGCAGCAAAACTGACTGAATGGTAACAGTGAAAACACATGCACATCCACAATCCCATTTGGAGTCCATAGCTTGTAATTACTTGCAGAATCAGAGCAATGCGGATGATATATAATCTTCTAAAACTTTCTGCTTCTCTTTAAAAGCAGTACCGTCTCTCTTCAGGAGGGCTATCTCTGTCTCCAGATCATGGATTTTGGCCACGGTGCTCTCCTCCCTGCGATCCAGTTCCAAGATCTTTGCATGCAAACTCAAGATCCTACTCCAAAGCTGATCTTTGTCCGTGTCTGGTCTGCAGTATGAGTGTTCGTAAATAGAGATGTGCTCTCCCTCAGCGGGTCCCGTCTCCTCCAGAAAGCAGCCCGTGGGTTGGTCCGTGACCATTTCCACAGGGACGAAGCTAAAAGCCTGGCCCAATGCTGCTTGGAGGGCAGCTGAGTCCACGTTTGCCTCTCCGTCGGAGAAAGGGCCCAGTGTCTCACAGCATAACACAGTCACGGTGGAGTCAGCCTGCTCTTCAGAATTGGGCTCAATGCATGAGGAAAGTGCGAGGCAGGAAGCTGTTGGTATTCCAGTGTCGCCCGGTATCTCACAAGCAACAGTCTGTATCTCTGAGAGATTTGAATGACAGGAGATGTCAGTGTCCGACACCAGAGGCGGTTCAAATATCACCTCTGTGTGTTCCGCGACGGTGTTGTTTGTTGTACTCAAATGGACCTTTCTGCATGTTCTGCTCAAAATGAGAGGCCTGTTACTGAGAGGGAAGTCGATTCCTGTGGGCTTAATGTCAATATCTATAGTCCTGGGCTTTGCCTTGGGGCTTCTTTTAAAGGTTGTAACTTTTTTCTCACCATCCTGAGATAAAAGAAAATGTGTCTTCGTTAAATGGGATTATGCAACGGCAGCAGAGTAAGAGCACAATACTGTAATAGGCAAACTACATGCTTATAATGGAACTGGGTGGACAAAACATCAGAAATTCTCTGCAGAGCAGTATAATTCAGACTGGCACTGGTCAATCTCAGGCAACGCAAACAAATCATAATGAAGAACAGGCTGAATGCACACCAAAAACTCTCGATGGACTTTCTGTAAGTGAAAGTGCACTCTTTCACTTGCAGAAAATGTTGTCGCATTGGCTTCTGATGTGCACCAAGCACTTTCTTGGATGGATGATAAGACATAAAAAAAAAAACAAGACAGATACATACATCCTCAGTGGAGGGGAAAATGGTCGGTACAGCTGTGTTCTTCAGGTAGCGGATACCCCATCGGATATCGAAGCAGTCCTCTGTAAAATGCTCACTGCACAGGTACTGATGTCGACTCGGGGTCCACTCCTCCCGCTTCATGTTGTTCACCCATTTCTGAAGCCTGGGCTTGTCTTGCAACGGAAACCTTTTAGGTAAAAGAGACGGAGACGTGAAGTAAATGGCTGATTTGACACTGAATCAGTTTCACATTCAGCGTCACCTAACGTTATCATCACTCACATTCACTCCCACCGTCTCCCCTGGCACCATTACAAACAGCTGAACATGACATATAGAACAGAATAGGCTACTTCTGACATGCCATTATTAATATTATTAACGTCTCACTTCCTCTATCATTAACTAAAGGCGCTAAGGAAAACATAAACTAAGCAGTTGCTGCTAAACTAAACAAACAAACATTTCAACTCGAAGACACACCAGAAAGAAAACAAAAAAAAAAAAACATACGGATAGAAGCTTATTCTCTTGTTGTCTTGTCTAGATGCATTTCCCCCGCGGTTTCTGCAGACTTTGACAGCGCAGTACCGTGGCATCTCTGCAGTGAAACCTCATGAAAACGTTTTACACACACACACACACACACACGTTCGTGGCTAACATTTTTGAAAACACAAACCAGCTCGTAAACTGTCACTTCCGGGTTGTAGTACGCCTCACAGCGGAGATGACGTTTACTCCTTTTAATGATCAAGATAGTTAACGTACCATTTATGATTATAAACGGTTACACAGCTACGGGGAGGAAATTACATAAAATAAGATTACACAAATATATCATTTGACCATTCATCTCTTAGTTTATGAAAGACTATTCAGAATAGTACACATATTAACTAAATAATGTCATTTACAGGTCTGAAAACCAGTTTATGCCTCACACCCGAATCGATTATGCAAAAATAACAGAGCAAAGCGAAGACGGAAGTACACGCAGTTCTCTCTCTTGCTTGCATTCGGATTCTTTTCGCACTATCCCCGTTCTCCACGTGCGCACTGTTTCCACCAATCACCGGGCTCTGAGTCACTGTGTTAAGAAATTGACCAATAGCGTTGCGAGTCGTGGTGTTACGGCTCAGGAATGCAGCTAGTCAACAATAGTTAGCTTTCGTTTCGCATCAGCTGGAGCTGTTGACGGCGGAGAGAGGTATCCTCGGGCTGTTTGTCACTCCGTCTCCAGGTAAGCCTTCTCTTCCAGTACTCATCAACTTTATTTGTCTCGTCTGTCTTACGTGCAAATGAGAATAATTAAAGTGCCATTACAAAGCTTACTGAAAGCAGAGCTGATTGAGCTGAAGTTTTCTCCTTTATTCAGCTAAAACAGTGAGTTGTTCTTTTTTTTTTTTTTTTTTTTTTTAAGGCTAACGTCTCTCTGTTGAAACTAGCTAGCACATTAACAGTAAGTTAACAACGCCTTATCACCTAACGTTACATTCTGGCTACTCTTTGAATAGTTGGTGGCAAAATGTTGACTTTGGAAACCGTACTGTAAGCACTTCAGGGGCGTGTGACACGTCGTTAACCGAGCTGTCAAACTGCTCCCTTCACAGCCTCAAAGGTGCCAAAACCAGCAGCCATGGCCACAGCGCAGTCGGTGTTGCTTCTAGCAGTGCACATTCTGCTCATCTCCGAGTTCATCCTGGCCAAGAGAGACTACTACGACATACTGGGGGTGACCAAAGATGCCACTGAGCGCCAGATCAAGAAGGCCTTCCACAAGCTCGCCCTGAAGTACCATCCTGACCGAAACAAGGGCCCGGACGCCGAGGCGAAGTTTAGAGAAATAGCTGAAGGTAAGTGAGTCTCTGTGTCATCCCATAATGTGGGGCAGTGGGTAAAAACTTGTCTTTATTACCAGCTGCTTTGACTTAATAGGGTTTTTACCCAAGTCAGATTTTCTAGCATAAACTACCTTTTAATAATGATATGTTTATGGATTACATGTAAGTCCCTGTGAGACATTCCTTACAGTAATAATAACAGGTCTTGTTTGTTGTGAGGTGACATATGCTATCATGACAACAACTGGGTGTATCTACTGGCTCACTCTCTTTTCTCTAACTGGCCTCAGTAAAGAAAATCACACTGGAAAGGTCACTCATTTAATCTTAAGTGAAATTGGATTACATTTATAATTTTTCAATTTATGTTGACTTCAGTCTGTCTCATTATAATCTGATCTCATCTCCAAAATTCAAACATTTCTCTCTTGTTTCATAATACATAGATAATAAACCTGTCACTACTAAACATGTTCAGAAACCTTTGAGTGGCTGCATCACAGCAACCAACACAATGAGTGATGTATTGTGTCTTTGTCTCTACCAGCTTACGAGACACTATCAGACGATAAGAGGAGGCGAGAGTACGACCAGTTTGGTCACGGCCCGTCACCAGGGGAGGGCCATGGAGGAGGAGGGGGAGGAGGTGGCAACTACAACTTCAACCAGCACTACCAGTCCTTTAACTTCAACTTTGATGACATCTTCAAAGACTTTGACCATTTTGGTCAGCAGCAACGACACCAGCACCACTTCCACTCCCAGAATCAGGCCCACCAAAAGAGACACTTTGACAGCCACTTCCAGGCTCATCGGGAGACTATGAACAGACAGAGGAGGCAGTTTCAGCAGGGGGGCTTTGGCGGAGGACTCTTTGACGACATGTTTGAGGACTTGGAGAAGATGTTCTCCTTTAACACGCACAGTTCCAGGACTGAGAGCAGATTCCAGGGTTCGGGAAAGCAGCACTGTAGGACAGTGACCCAGCGTAGGGGGAACATGGTGACCACCTTCACCGACTGCTCCTGAGAGGAGCAGAACATGATGCTCTATGGGACACTGCTGGGTTTTGTTTCTGTTGTGGTTTTGGAATTGAGTGCTAATTTATCACTTGGAGGAATACAGAATGGTTTTGTGTGGCTTGTTTTTTGTAATTTTCTGTGTGTAATTTCCTTTTAGGAACAAATATCCAAGTTGGCCTGATAAACGGCTGCTTCCGAGCAATAACTCACGCACATTATTGCTGATAGCACGACATAAGTCTCATGCTGATTAAGATACCTCCCCATTATTTAGCTTACCGTGTTCATTATGTTTACTTGTGTTCATTTCTCATGATGGTACAATCTGTTAGACTCAGGTATGGCCTAAGGTTAAAAGATCATTTGAATTAAAAAGATTTTTTTTGGAGCAATGAAGCAATAAGATTTTGTCATTCTGCAGCTACTTAGGCCATACTGTTATTGTGCTCTTAACGTAAATCTTTTGCTAATGTAAAACCAGGCTTTGCTCATCTAAACATAGTATACCCTGGCCTTGTACATGTTATCTCTTGGTTTTTACTCAGTAGCTTAAAGATTACACAGTTTAAGTTTCACGGATGTTGATTTATAGAACTTGCATCAAATTTTGCTGTGAAAATGGAGCTACACAGAAGATGTGCGCAAGTTGGCCATTATCAACTGTTACCTCGTTTTAAGTTTCTTCCTACAGAGTTGCGTCTACCTTCACTCAGTCAGGGTGGGAAATCAACATCAGTCCTATGACAAATGCTGATCTGTCAGTTTCCTGAACTGATCATAACGTGCAATATTTAGCACCTTTTGCTCTTCATGTTGCCTATCTTTCATAGACAGTGCTGTGTAAATGTCATTGTCTTATGTCTGCACTTTGTGTGTGTGTGTGTGAGTGTGAGTGTGTGTGTTTGTTTGTTTGTATGCTGAGAGTGGCCTAAATGTTGATTGGTCGCATAATAGTCGGAGAATTAATAAAAAAGTTACACGAGCCTGAGTTTGTGTTTTGTTCTGGGAGAGGAAAAGTGTAAGAAATGCATAGTATTAATTCAAGTAATTATTATTATTATTACTATAATTTATTGTTTCAGTTACACTTAACAATAATCCAAATTTAGCATGAGATAATAGGTAACCATGGTTCCCGTGCATTGGGTTTGAAGATGCATTACACAAATATATCATTTGACCATTCATCTGTTAGTTTATGAAAGACTATTCAGAATAGTACACATATTAACTAAACAATGTCATTTACATCTTTACTGAAGATGTGTCAGTCAAGTTTTTCAGACTATATAATATTTGTCTGAGCAGAAAAAACAGTATTGTCACACTGTTGACATGACAATATATTTTTTTCTGCAAGTGACAAGACACAAGTGTTGTACAGCCAACTGTTGTTTAAGTTACACTGCTGATGACACAAATGTGTTATAACCAACTGTTGTTCAAGTTAAACTCCAGTAGAGAGCGTGCTTTCATAAGACAGAAGAGCAGAGCTGTGAATACTAGGAGAGCTTGTGAAGGGGAAGAAACCAGCCTGACGAAAACAAAGACATTGTGCGTTAGAAGCATCTAGATGAGTTATATGACGGCATAGAGAGGACAGTTATGTCTACTTGTATAGGAAGAACCGTAAAAAGAAAAGAGAAGTTTGTATGCATTTCCATAAACCTAATCAGATCAGAGACAGAAAAATGTGAATTGACAATTCATACCTAGAGAATATTCAACAGAAGATGGACTGATTTTACTTATTCAAGTGTCCTGGTGCCCAGTCCATATGGGCTTACAAGACACTAAAGCACCATCAGTCAAGATAATCACATGACAAATCATAATATACAGCTCCACAAACTCAAAAAAAGATGCATAAGATTACATTTTCATTACCAAAATGTGTTATTATGTTGGTTTACAGTGTTCTCTGTCTTAATTGCCATTAAGAGTCAACTCAACATTTCATGATGGGAGTGGAATTCAGTGCTCGAAATTGTATAGTTATTGTAATTGTATAATTGTAAAGTATATTTGTTAAAAATCTTTTCTTCTTTTCTCCTTCATATGGGAATAGCATGAAAGGGTAAATTCAACAACGCAAATGTATCAGTTAAATTATACCGTCTCAACTATGCGTAACATTTGACATTTAGAGTCTTTTAGAAGCTGTATTATTTGTAGTATATATTAAAATTTTAAGGAATGGCACATGACAAGGGGATAATATTTTGCCTTGAAGCAACCCAGCTGAATGTCCATAAGATCTGACCCCAAACCCATCAAACGTAATATAGAAAGAACAATACAATGCCAATCCTCTTGACTTCTCAAGCTGAAAAACTAGGCTGCTAAGAACTGGCTAGGAAAGGCTAAAGGATAACTATTACTACTTCATCAAGTGTCTGATAAAAAAATGTTTCCCTCAGGGCAGTTCTACACTTAGCTAAAGTTAAATAGCCAGAAAGATGAAGATGTGGCCAACTGCTTACCAAGCTGCACACTACAGCTTTAATGACAGCTGCAATTATAAAAAGAGGGACAAAGATGGCTGATCTTCTTCATGTTTTTAAAAATGGCAAAGCTGCCAAAGGTATTTAAACAATGGCAAAAATGCTAATGTCATAAGACAACACCACACCCAGGTGTGGTTCAGCTAATGCAGGCTGGATGATTTTATTAGTATACTCTTCCTCACACTTGCATTTTGAGATAAGCTGTAATGACACATCACACATCATCTGTGCATTCTGTGAGTGATACAGTAATATATGAGGACAATTGCTCCATTCCTTTTGAAATGTTCCTATTTATCGTACATTTATATATATATATATATATATATATATATATATATATATATATATATATATATATATATAGTGTTTTTGTATTACTTTTTTCATCTGTTTTTTTTAACAATCATTCTTGAGTTGATAGCTCAAAAGCATATGATTCAATGTATATAGAGCATCATTCTATATTTTCTCTTGCACGTGTGGATTTATTGCTGTACTTCCTCAAGTGTAGCCTAAATAGCCAGCTCAAAAATGTGAAATGCAACTGTGCATACACTTTCAACATGACCTGAAAAAGTCTATTTGTAGTCTGAAAACTTGAAAAATCCCTCTCTTGGTATGGTAAATTGTAAAAACAAATGATTGCATTGCAAGTGGCCGGCCACATGAGCTGAGATATCTAATGATCTAAACTAAGTACTGGCTTATGATGCAGTGAATGTCCTTGCTATGCCAGGATTTGCATAAATCGGCATGCCAGAAAAGAAAAGAGACCCAAATAATAATGTAATTACCAACTTCAGCTCAGAAAGCTGCCCCCCAGTCAGACTAAGAGAGCACTCAGGGCCACCACATCAATGTATTTATTTCTTATTTTAATTTTGTCTTTTACATAGCCAAACACTAGTATCTGTAACCTGTTCAAATGTGATGGAACCGTAGTATAAGTAGAGAAGAGTCAAAACATCATCGTAATGACTCACCAATATCAATTACACAACAATACTTATTTAAAGTTTTAGCCAACAGTAGTTGCCATTAGTTACTGGTCTACCAGACAAAAAGCCACCAAGTACAGTTGTAGCACCAAAACCCCTGAGTGTACTGAACTGAACAAGGATGTGTTTTATTGCAAATTAATCTATATGTAATTTGAATAATGTGTTATATTGTCCTTCAAAAATTACATATAGAACACTGCTGTTATAAAATGCAGAACAAATATGTAATTAACCCAGATTTATTATGGTCATTAACCCTGCCTGTTATATATTCACAACTGACAGAAGGGGATGTCCCAGTGACACAAGACAGCAGACCCAAACAACCACTCATTGTCTTTAATCTTGTTTTCAACTCTTCAGAATAACGTTAATAAAGGCAGCCATAATACTACACAAACATTACTAACACTGTTTGTGCCGATTCATTCTTCCCTCTGCAGCCCAGCTCTAGCCTCCCTGTTCATGTGTTACTGGTGTGCAGGGCAGACGTGACTAATCAATCCCAGACACACTTTTTTCTTCTGATTAACCCCACCTCTCTCCCCGGCTGTAAGGGGGCTGCCTCTTCCCTCGGTGTACTAACAGTCTGCTTGCACAAACGGCTGCCTGTTGACTGATCCTGCTTGAACGCCGACACGAGATCCAACATGATACCGTCAGTTACACTCAACAATGGAGCAAAGATGCCTATTGTGGGTCTGGGAACATGGAGGGTAAGGCTGAATGTTTTATACCTATAACAGATGAGCTTTAGAAAATGCATGGGTGCATGGACTTTTCACTCCTTTTCTCTAAGTACCTATACCTACATTTGAGGGGTTCTATGGTCTGTATTATCTGTATTGTCTATGTTTTGTATGTTATGAATCCACTGCCTTGCCACTTTAATCCACTGTACGCACAAACTAGGTTCAAAAGTAGAGACATCTTTTATTTAAGTAGTTCTATTACAGTCCAATAAACTAGTTAATTTCACAAACTGACCTCAACATTATCTCTTGCAGGAGGGTAAACATTAGCCCACCTTTAAACTTTTTACTCCACACTGACCTCTGCCTGAACAATGATACCGGCAATGGCAACATGCCCTTTGCATTCATCTTTTACCATTCATATTCTTATAACAGAACATAGCCATTCACTCATGAGGCTAGAACAGCACACAATCACAGCCATGGCTGCCACTGACACATATTTCGCTCACGTTATTGAGATACCTATCTGTATCTGCAATTTCCTTTTTTTTTGTATCACCCTACCTCTACAGGCAGACCAAGGAAAGGTCACTGAGGCTGTTAAAGTGGCAATAAGTGCTGGCTATAGGCATATCGACGGCGCATACGTGTACCAGAATGAAGAAGAAGTTGGGGCTGGAATTCGTGCAATGATTGACCAAGGAGTAGTAAAGAGGGAGGAACTATTCATTGTCAGTAAGGTATGGTAAACAGCCAAAGTCGTTAATAAATCCACATGGGCCACCTTCTAGAGCATTTGACCCCATAGACACTCGACATTTGAGCCAACGTAGCCCATCAGACTACACCAAATACATTTTCTGACTGGGAAAGTGGGAAAAACAATTCCTTACTGTATCTCGGAGCTATTACCACAACCAAATAACACCAATTTATGCTCTTCCATGTGACCTCCTTATTATATTATGTAATAATAACATAATGTAATAACTTGGTTGGGTTGTTCTCCTCCATCTTGTAATGCTTCATAGCTCTTTACTATTTACAATGAGCACACATGCAGCTTTGTTGCATTGTGTATCATTTGACATACTAATACTACAGTTTCACCACCAGACTACCAGCGTGCCCACACCCACATAAACGGCATACACTAACAGTATGTTTAACAAAATCTGTTTTCATTTCACAGTTATGGTGCACCTTCCACATTCCATCTCTGGTGAGGGGAGTGTGCGAGAAGACGCTCAGTGACCTAAAACTGGACTACCTTGACCTTTACCTCATGCATTTCCCTATGGGGGCCAAGGTTTGGATACCACTGTCTGTTGGTAGAACTACCTGTATCAAGGACTCTGGTCAAGCTCAACCTTTAGTCTATTTTATCTGTCTGTCAAACTTGGCATCAGATAATTATTTTAGATGTTTTTTAAATAAAGGTTTTGCTTAAAATTTCTACTTCTACTAGGTTGGCAAAACTACTTATATTGTGGACAGAAGTCTTTAAGTTTTGATTTTAACGTTTGTAATTTTTCCACTGCAGCCAGGGGATGAGCTTTTTCCTTTAGATGACAACAGCCAGTTAATTTCCGATGGCAGCAACCTCTTGGACACTTGGGAGGTAATTTGAGTGACTTACATGTGTAAAGCAAAGCCTGACCTACTGGTATTGCTACTGACTTGCTGGCAGCTTAAATCAAATATGAGCATGTAAAATAGGTTGCAAAACAAGATGCATAAACAGTAATGTGTGATGTGTCTTAAAGGCTATGGAAGAGCTGGTGGATGCAGGGCTGGTCAGAGCTATCGGCATCTCCAACTTCAACAAAGACCAGATTGAAGCCATACTCAACAAGCCAGGCCTCAAGTACAAGCCTGCAAACAACCAGGTACAAAACACAACATTGATATTGATTCCTCAATATCACAGTATTTTGAAAGAAGAACATAAAAGCTAAAGCATTTGGCTGTTCCTCCAGATTGAGTGCCATCCGTACCTGACCCAGGAGAAGCTGATCCACTACTGCCACTCAAAGGGCATCTCAGTGACAGCTTACAGCCCCCTGGGCTCCCCCGACAGACCCTGGTGAGAGGCAGCGTCCCCTATCGTACACAGCACTCACAAACAAGTGCTACAGCTTTCACCCATTCTTTTCTATATCTTTTTTACAAAAGGGCTTCATCTGATGAACCGTCCTTGCTGGAGGAACCTAAGATCAAGGCCATTGCAAACAAGTACAGCAAGACCCCAGCACAAGTAGGAAAGAAATGTCTACCTAATGTGCATCTTTTATTTAATTTTTCCTGGAAAAATAAGGCTATATAAATATATAATAAATAAAGCTTTTTGGATGATGTTTATTTTAGACTGCAAAGCTAAGTTTGGTAAGGAAAGACTCATTATGATTGTTGTATTTCATTCACATAAGTAATGAATATATATAATATAATATATAAAATGAGGACACACTGTGTGCAGTTTGAAGCTTTTATATAAGATGCCTCATATTGGGTACTTAAGGTCACATGCAAGATAGTGTACAGCACAAAATTAAGAAGGGTGCACACTCATGATTGGAACGAGACATAACCGCTTTGTTCATTCAGCGCTTCATTTCCAGAGTTAAATAGCAAGTCAGCGAAGACAAAGTCAATGCTGTCACATGGTGGAAGAAAGGGTTTGTTATCTAACCATTGGAAATTGAACAGTACAGTGTTGTGTAGTCATGCAGAGATGCTAATATGATAATAATAATGCTTTGCTCATATGAACTGTTTTATCACTAGGTCCTCATCAGGTTCCACGTCCAGAGGAATGTGATTGTCGTTCCAAAGTCAGCAACACCCCATCGAATCAAGGAAAATTTCCAGGTATACAAATCTTAAAACTTATTTAATTTAGGTTTTGGCATTTGGCAAAAATTCTGATTCTGTTCTTTACCCTTCCAATACAATGTTAGTTATTTTTGTGTGTGCACTCTACTTGTTGGATGCCATTTATGCAGACTACTGAAGCTTCTTGAGAGCTGACTTTATCTGTTCTTTCTCTTTTAGTTGTTTGACTTTGAGTTGAGCGAAGACGACATGAAGACCATGCTGAGCTTGAACCATAATTGGAGGGGATTCCCCATGCCATGGTGAGTAGACAGGAAGACGATGGGAAAAAGGGAAAAAGGGAAAAAGATAAGCAGAACTAAACGATGCTTGTATGGTAGATAATGGGCTGTATTCACAAACAATGTAAAACAGTACAGGCTCTGAAATGTACTTAAAGTATACAAGTAAAACGTACTCTCTTGGTTTATCTGAAGGACATTTCTACTGTTTCTGTTAACTGAAACTTCAAACCAGGCAGAGTCCACCTCTTGTCTATTTATTCTTTGTTATGTCTCATTTTAGTATTTAATCTATTTGATATTAACTGGGGAAAATGGCTCAGCTTTAATTAATTTCAGTGACTACTGCTGACGGAAGGTTGCGACAGACCAGAGTCATCACTGCTGCATTTTTCCAGTGTCCAAATATCTTATTATTAGGATTACTTTTTATTTTCAATCTAATCTCTAGTGTTTCAGTAACACACTCTCATTCAGCGTTTGTAGAATTTCTCCTCTGCTTAAGAAACTCTTAAGCCTCAAAAGAGGTCCTCCCTGCTCTCTGAAGGGCTAAGATGCTTTGTGAATAACTCGCTTTACCAGGATCTAGTCTTGATTTACGGGGAATTTCTCATGAAACATTATAATTCTAATCATTTTCTTAGAATTTTGTCAGTAGGAGCAACTTTTTATTCTAGGCTTTATGAATCCATCCCCAGGTAACTGGACCTATTACGATTAAAGTAAAATATGTTCCTCTTCTTTTCTCTACAGGGCTTCAAAACACAAAGACTTCCCGCTGAATACAGAATACTAACTCATCAGATCATATGCTCCGACAGAGCCTGAATAATTATTTCTACTTACTAATCTTGTACTGGACCATTTTTGTATAACGCTAGCTTCTAAAAGAATTAATCCATTGGATGTATTGAACACAGAATTTAAGTTGAATTTTCACATTCTGTTTTATTAGGATATAGTCTTTGTATGTTGACTTTATTTAAAATAACTGTGTGCTGCAATACCTGAAGGCGTGTAAGCTAAGTAATCTGTGGGTTGCAGAAGCTGAAAGTGATCACTATAAATGTTATGTAGCTACTTGAGGAGGCTGATCATTATGGCAAAGTTATATAAGCTACATTCTCGTAAACCCATGCACCAGTTCAGAAAAATGCAGAAATTTGTCAAGATGACTCAAAATCATACTATCTACTAATCATCATCATCATCATACTAATCATATATTTAGTGTTTGGAATGTTGATTTCTTTCCTTCCTAGTCCTTCTCCATTGATATGTTTAAACTTGCTTACCCTCATAGTGTATTTCTTAAGGTTTTAGATAGATGTAAAGCAAATTCAATTTGCCTGTCTAGAATGTGCTACATAAATAAACTTCCTGTAATGTGAATGAATATTCTATCAACAGTCTGTGATAACCATTTCACTTGATACAATATTGACATTTTGAACTCAGTTGTGACACTTTTCTTTATGTTAACTTGGTCCTCCTACCGTCCCAGAATGCATCACATTAACTTGGTCAAGACTGAAATCACACCTGAGATTGTTTGTCTTTTTTGGCAGCCTCAACTTCCCATCTTCAAGAATGGAATATTCAATTGAAGCCTGCTAAATAAGGCTCCTATGGTAGTACACCAGTGCCACATGAAAGCACAATGTAGACGTCAGTCACTCGTAATATGTGTCCAGACCTTACTTTTAAACACTCACTAGTAGAATGATCAACTGCATTTTATTTCTGTAACTAGATAAAATTGTGGCTATACACTTAGGTGTGTGTGTGTGTGTGTGTACTGTCAATGGTGCATGTGTGTGCGTGTGTGCATACTGTGCATACGTGATATCTTTGAAGGTTCAGAGCCCGTCTCATCTCTAGCTTTCCTGACCCCTAGTGGTCACTAAGATGTATAAACTTTGCACTGGCCTGACTGTGTAGTAAACTCGCACCAACTTGTTTTATTTTATCCCACAGGACTTTATTGTAATGCACAACAAAAAAAGCTCACACAGGAAGTGAAAGCGACTATTTCATAACAGGGTTAATACACATGATTAGAAAATGGCATATATGACTCACATGTAATGATGGGAAGTACCCATGTCATCTTATGACAAGCCGAGGTAATATGCTCTATATTACACAGAGATAACAGTCCTTTGAATTTTGCTGTCAAATGCATATGCTCAATAGGGACAAATACCTGCAAAAAGTACAAATAAACCTTGTCACAAACTGAAACAGGAAGGAAAAACAGGCTTAGTTACACAAGGAGTGCTTTCAAGTTTGATAAATCTCTGGATGGATCATATTTGTGCTATGGAAAAAAATTTGACCTAAATACTGATTTTGCCTTTTAGTTTGGCTATGAGAATTTACTATAGGTTGTTTTTTTCCCCTCTTACATTTGATACTACAAAACGTGTAAGACTACAGACAAAACACTGACAAATGTCCATGTTTTTGTAAACTGCTTATTCTGTGCTCAGAACTAATTCAGAACTCTTTAAAAAGATTTTATCTGTACTGAATATGGCACACATTTTGGTTCTTCAGTAACTGCAGATGCAACACGGATCACAAAGTAAAGCCAAAGAAAAAAAACATGTTAAAACTTGAAAATGACCATGTAAGGAGAAGACGCTAATACTCATTGTATTAATGCAAAACTCATACCCATAGTGGCTGTAATTTGTATAAATTGAGCATTTTAAATTGGGTATAATAAGTACTTGGGAGTGTGTGTAGTGTGGATAACAAAAGAAGTCAGTGTTTCTCTTGAGAGATGTAACATGAAAATAAAAGTCTGATAGAAGGCCACACCAGCATTGCGTACTGCTCTAAAGAACCGGAAAGCGAGCAGCCTAAAGGGGAGAGAAGTAAGCACCAGCACCCACTGTAAACCTGTGGAAAATCATTTTTCCCCATTTCAGAATTCAGCATTGAATGGATAGTCCTTGTGCTTTGTGCTCCTACAGAGAGGGGAAAAAAGAAATGGAATATTTATAAAAAAAAAAAAAAAAAAAAAAAAAAAAAAAGGTTTGTGGTCAAAACATCTTCTTAACAATGTTACAAAGAAATCAATAAAGAGCACAACGATGTGCGATCTCACCATTGCATGGGACAGACTCTCCAGTTCCTGTTAAATCCTAAAATAGTCTTAATTTCCTCCTCAGTCAGCTCAAAGTCAAACACCTGCAATGATACAAACAACGGTCTTCATGCATGGGGCAAAAGCAAAAAACAAGAAAGTGAAGCAGATTGAGGGCTAATCCTAGAAAACATCTCAACTATTTCTCAGCCAATTACCTGGAAATTCTCCTGAATGCGCTGAGGTGTGATCGACTTGGGGATCACGATCACGTTCCTCTGGACCTGGAATCGGATCAGGACCTGGGAGGGAAGGAAAACGAGTATTAACATGTGAACGTGATCAAAAGGTCATGACTTTGAAGTGTAGTAAGAGTAAAATCCATGTGAGTGGTATTTAAATCTACCACATTTTTCTCTCATGTGTTTGTGCTCATTTCTACTACACTGTGATTGTTAACAAGCTCAAAGTTGCAAGAAAAAAGCTGAATAAGTGTTTTTTTTTTTTTTTGGTGTGTGTGCACAATAGCTATTTTAAACTTTCAGTTCAGTTTCATTTCTCATTTGCTCAAGCGTGAGTGCTGCACCTGAGCAGATGTCTTCTTGTGCTTCTCAGCGATGGCTTTAATGTTCGGGTCATCCATCAGTGAGGGGTCTTCAGGTTTGGCCCTGCAAGTCATCCAGCGTAATTAACAGGATTCACACATATTGCATTGTTTTGCTGACAATCAAAGGATGAAATAATGCTTCCAAGTTATGCAGCTGTATGTGTTTTTTTAAAGGAAAGTCTCTACAAGTAATAAAGACGTATCTGTCAAAAAACAAAACAATATCAGACAATGAAAGGCCAATTACATAATGTCAAAATCCTGACAAAATAGGCCACACACAGACAATCTGCAAAGACAAAGAGGAACAACAGTCACAAGTTGAAACTGACCACAGGGATATGACAGACATAATGGGGTTGACAAATACTGGATGGCACGCAACCAAATATGACCCACTTTGTAGCAGTGTGGACTTACACATAAGTCTCTCTCATGTTATTTTGTCACAACTGCGAGTGTCATGCTAACTGACCAGGGTCTATCAGGAGAGCCCAGGGGGCTGTAAGCAGTCACCGAGATGCCCTGAGAGTGGCAGAAGTTGATCAGCTTCTCCTGGTTCAGGTACGGATGGCACTCCACCTAGTGGGACAAACGGAGAACTCTTGGGATGTGCTGCAGAAACCACATGAAATAAATACAGAGTGGGCTACACGTATGTCACCTTACTCAGGCCATCAAGACTGTCCAGCCCTTTGAAATCTCAGAGTTTCATACATAGATGGTTTTACAGTGGCTTTAAACTAAGCTTCAGTTGTGTCTTATTTTCTAATATAGGAGTACAGGAGTACATTTGTATGATTGCATTTAGCATACGCCTATTAGGCCTGCTATACTAATTTTAAGGGATACAATTGTTAATATTCAATATACAAGAGTCCTTTTGTTCTGTGTTTGGTGTGTGTGGTGACAAAGGGCAGAAGGGAAATGGTGCTGTAATCGAATATACAACAAGACCAGACAAAACAAGACATTGATGTTGAACAATGGTTCTGAAAAACAGCAAAAATATAAGGTCACCTCAGCTAATTGGTCTGGCCTGAGGGGAAACTGCTGTGGCCCATTACGAATTAACAGGACATTCATTTCTCAGACCTGATAGGAGGAGACAGATACTGCCATTATGGCCTCTTGCCCTTTTTAAAGTGCAATCTTGAAATGTATCTGTTTTCTTGCTGCCCTGAAGCCTTTCAAAATATGCTGGAACTCAGAATGCTGGATATGTTTAAACAGCAGCTGGCCACTACAGTTATCAGGTGAAATGTTATCTGTTTGTTCTACAACTGTGTATCGAGTGATGTCACTGGAGGGTGACTTTATTTAGGTATGTCTTAACGTACCTGGTTGTTGGCAGGCTTGTACTTGAGGCCTGGCTTGTTGAGAATGGCTTCAATCTGCTCCTTGTTGAAGTTGGAGACACCGATGGCTTTGACCAAACCTGCATCCACCAGCTCTTCCATCCCCTGAGAAAATGGACCATAAAGAACACCTTTACTAAACTCTACCGCGTCGATCTCTGTTCTTGCACCATCACATTTTAAGCTTGCAGTTCTCCTAAAGCTGTCTGCTTTCAGGGCACTTTAAAGCCTCTTTCTGACTTCCTCAAAAAATGTTGTTCATAAACTTATCATAATATAGGACAGACTCAGCTTTGTCGGATGTCAGTGATGATATCTTATGGCTGCTGTAAATCACACAATTTGCTCCCAACTCACAATTTGCGATTATTAGATCCTCTGTGAATGCATATGTACCACTATTTTTTGGTATTTCTTTATTGTTCTAGTTTAAGAGTTGTGCTAAAAAGAAAAACTCCCAACAAGTTTTACCTGTTCGAATCTTGTGTCTGATACAAACAAGTTTGTCTGTCTGTTTAACTCACCTCCCATGTCTCCAGGAAGTGGGTATTATCATTGATTGTCTCTCCTGCGCTGTCCAAAGGAAAAAGCTCACTTCCAGCCTGGAACACGACAAAGGGATGAACAGCCTTCAGGTTTACATAAAATTACTATGACACTGACATATTTTTCTGACAAGACAATAGAGCGCCTACCTTGAAACCCATGGGCCAGTGCACTAGATAAAGGTCTAGGTAGTCCAGCTTAAGATCACTGAGAGTCTTCTCACAGCCTTGTCTCACCAGGGACTTCTCATGGAAAGTGCACCACAGCTATGAAATTAAAAAGGTAATTAAATTAAAAGTAAATTAGTTATTAAAACAACATTGACACACAGCCAATAAACATGCAGCAGTTCCCATGAAATATTAATAATAATGACATGAATATGTAACATTATGCACCCAGAAGTCACCTTGCTAACAATGAAAAGATCCTCTCTCTTGACCACGCCGTCCTTGATCATGGCCTGAACACCCTCTCCCACCTCTGCCTCGTTCTGGTAGACATAAGCGCCATCGATGTGCCTGTAACCCGCAGAGATGGCTGCTTTCACCGCCTCTGTGACCTTGCCAGGGGGAGACTAATACACAACGGATGGTTTGTTAGTTACTGTAGTGTCAGAGAGTTTACATGGTGTCAGTACAGTGTCTTTTTGTCTTTGGGGTCATGTACTCTGCACTTATACCATCCTGACTATCTGTCTTAAAGAAGGTTAATCAAGCATTTTTTTTAAATCGCCTCTTTGGGGGTGGTGTGTCCTCTGCATTTGTTCCAAACTGTTCAGGAGAAATCACAGTGCAGCACCTCGTGCAAGAACATTCACATTACCCAATATGCATGTCTTTGGTGGTGGGAGGACACCATGTACACATCATGTGTTAAAAAAACAACCCACCAAGTATGGGGACAACTAAGCCTGTCTTCTTTATTGCCAACACTAATTAATTGCACACATCATTTGATATGTTATGGAAGAAAACCACACATACTATAAAGCAGGAAACAACAGCCTTCTAAGATAAATTATAGATAATGTTTCTAATATTAGCACACAAAACCTCGGACTGCCCTTCATGTAAACACATGAGAGGAAATTGGCTGTTCGGGCTGTAAGACGGCTGACAGAAACCACAGCAAGCACTTCAGGGATTAGGTTACATAATTGTTGGTGTCTATCACAACACTTAAACTTGGGTAATCGTTGGTTTTTGTGGGTTACAGTGGCTCAAAGTGGAGCCTGCTGGCAAGGAATTGTTCATTAAGTTAGCTCACAGTCAATAACGTTACAAAGTAACTTTACCCAGCACATTGCACTCGACGACCGCGCTTACGGCTGCTATCAGTTATGGTTAAGTGGGGGGGGAAAGTAAACTCACAGATACTTATAAAATAAAATGCAATTTCTTTCGACTTTACAGTGGTTATATCGCCGCGTAAAGTTAGTTTTAACGACTCGTTTATGTAACATGTCTCCAGTCATGCTTTCTGTTCACACGTCCAGCTAGCTTAAGTTACACACCAACTAAAGGTAACGTCAGGGCGACATAGCAAAAAATATATATCTATATATATATATAAACGCACCTTCCATGTTCCCAGTCCCACAATGGGCATTTGTGCACCGGTGTTCAGTTTCACTGTTGTTGCCATTGTTTTTCAAAAGGACGAGCAGACCCTCTTGGTGTGCAGCTCCAGCCGAGCAGAGACAGTAAAGGTAGAGCACAGCGCCAGCACAACGCTGGCATCGTCGATCGATTAATAATGCCTTTTAATTCATTTAGGTCAACTGAGGCCACCCACTGCTGTCAGTCTGTTTTAATTTGCCAATCAACCTGTTCTTAACATATTTATTCACCTTTGAGGGTTCAGAATGGTTGGTATTAGCAGTGGTAGAAGAAGTGTCAGATTGACCCATATTTGCTTGGAAAAGCCTCCAAATAAAGATGTTTTTAACTCAAAACATTGCAATGTCATGTAATGTAATTTTGGCACATTAGTAAAGCATTGAAATGTCTAAAGGTGGCATTAGAAATCAATAAATTGTTTTATTTCCAACTCTTCTTTTTCCATATAGGCTACGTGTATTTTCTCACTGAACTTAAGGCTACCATTTAGTCTAAAATGTGGCCATAACAGATCATTTCCATTTAATCTCAATTAATGTTTTAAATTTGACAGCATTTGACACCAACTAGGAGGCAGCTGGGGTTGCCCCCTTTATAAATACACTTCTTGCATTGAAAATTGTACTAAATTTAGACCCCTTAAAGACTGTTCACATAACATATTGTATTGTGTAACATATTTCATTAGTTAATCAATCAAGTAACTATCTGCCACATCGATGTAGAAGGGGTAAAAAAAAAGTACAGTAGTTAGTAGTAGTAGTAGTTTAAATATAATGTACATTTTTTAAATAATGTACACACGTGTGGAAGTTAACTGCAATACTTGGGTAAATGTACTTAAGGAGGCTGCTGACTGCCATGGCTGCAATCATTTGGACCACATTTGATCAACTCCTGCACAATTGTGAGGGTTTCTGCACATTTTTTTAAATCAAATGTAGTCCTTTAAAGACCTTTTCAGATCTTGACAAAGACATTTTTATAGCCTTTCCACAGCATGCACATTAGGGCTGAGTGGAAGGTTTGAAATCCATGAGGATATTTTTTAAAATATTGATATGTATCCCCAAAGAGCAAATGTATGCAAACCACATAAAAAATACAATAATAATGTTTATTGCATTGCATACCTGCAGTAGACATTATTAAACCAGTTTTGTAAGCTGTTTATATGGCATTTATATAATTGGGGACCCATAAACTTTGAAAGGACCCAAGATAGACTAACCACAGCTGTGAACCACCTGGCACAATAACACCTGCCTTGAGCATTTTTCTAAAAGTTTTGACAGTTCTATCATTGAACCACTAGAGGGCACCGTTACCACACTTACCAAACACCTGAGACAATCTCCTCAAATCACTCAGCTGAGGCTCCACAGTAAAATAATCAGGTAATGTCATACATTAGCTAATATGGCCAGTAATTACAGTCACTAAAATGATCACTACTGTTCATTTTACTTATGGCTCTCAAAAGCCTCATGCACATGTCCAATCTTTGTCAACTTTATCCACTGAGAATGCTCTTTAAACAAGCTTTGGGTATGTTCATTGTCCAGCATGAGGCGTGTAATGTGGGAGATAATGTTCTTTTTAATTAGTCATTATTATTTCGACTACAACTATGTCGTGGTATTATGCTTACACTGTAAAGGAGCTGTGCAGCATTGTGAATGTGCTCACACAGACCAGCCTTAAACCCCAAGAGACAGCTGAAAGAGGGAACAAATACAAGGTGATTTTTTTTTTTTTGTCAGAATCAGATAAAACCTCACAGACCTTTAACTGAGCCATTCAAAACTCTGAGCAGAAGATAAGAGAGGGAGAAGAGAGCGATATAAAAAACATACAAAGGGAAAAGTTATGGGAGCCGGCAGCCACTGTGTACCTCACAATGGCTCTCGCTAAAGTTTGTGTCTCTTCTGATCTTCTCCCAGCTGGACGCCTGCTTTTCAGGCCCCTGTCTCCTCTGATCTAACTTCAGACACTAGAGGGCCTTTTGCCAGCCTGCAAACTGTCAAAGTACCCCAGGAATCAAACACCGTCGCATGCTGTCATGATCAAAGACCCACAGGTAAACCAGACGAAGAGGCAACCACATACAATTGTCATCTAAAAGAGGGGGGAAAGTTTTCATTTCTGAGGCTCTTATTTGGCGTCTGCAGGTGGATAGCTTCTCGCTGCACCAAGTGCATCGATTAGAATAAAGGAAAAGAGAAACGGTCGGGTATTTGAAGATTACAACAGAGGCCCGGAGTAAAACCAAAGTGCCTCTCAAGGAAACTTTCGGACAAAGAGTGTAGACTTAGGTGAGATTTCAGAGTGTGCTGCTCCAAGAAGAGAAAAGTGGGAAATATTTATACGCTAGTGGGATGGACAGGGAAAGAATGGTTGTGTGGCAAATAAATACATAGATCACAATGAGCTACTGTCTCCATTCCCATTATGTGTGGCCATAAGGAATTCTCTCAGTCCAGCTGGTGGTGTCCATTCTTTCATAGGCTCTACATCAGATCACACTCCACCGGTAAAACCTGATCTGTCCTGGGGAGATCAAACACCCCATTTCATTTCATGGCCCTTTGCTCCATTCTTCCTGCCTCTCTCTCTCTCTCTCTCTCTCTCTCTCTCTCTCTCTCTCTCTCTCTCTTTCTCATTCACCTCTTGTCTCTCCCACTACTGGCCTTGGCTTTGCTTGTCTTTTTCTCTGTTTCTGCCAGAGTGCCCTGGGTCATAATCTCCCACCCATAAATGTAATGTCAAGTGTCAGCTCCCGCTGAGTTCACTCACATACTCGCATTCTGCACATTCTATCTGTGGAACAACAACAAGATCAGGGAGAGAAACCCCTACGTCATAAGTAAATCATGGTTATTTGTCAAGTGCATTACACGTTCTGTTGGATACACTGAAGATTACTGTGGCTGATCAGAGCCCTGCAGACATTGCGGAAAATAATTCTTCAAAATTTACAATAATCCCACAAATACCTGGACTAGATGGACAGTGTCAACTAATACAGAGCTTAATTAATGCATTAGTCATTGGTCATAAAATGAATCAGAAAACATTCTGATAATCGATCAGTCTTACATCATTTTTTAAGCAAATATGACAAAAAAAAAACAAACAAAAGACAGGTTCCAGACACTAAAATATATGATATAATATGTGAATATTGGCTGTTTTTCTCTGTCTGCTATTTTAAATAGCTGGTGAAACAAAACGAGCAATTTGATGAGCATTTTTAACTAGTTTGTAACCTTTTATAGGCCAAAAATTTGATTAATAGAGAATAGTTGCAACCTTAATTGATTCAATCTAAAAAATTTCAAAACATTACAAAAATATAATGAAACAGATGATTAAAAAGAACAACACTATATTCCTCTATCTTGTTACGACATACAACCTTGCACATGTTCTCATAATTGCAGTAACAATTCATGAGAAAGGCTTTCACAGATTTGCTCATATTGTACAGGATTATGTTGGAAAATTAATCTCATTTTTCTATGGCACTAAATCAGTTAAGGCAATTTGGACAATGTAATATAACTGCTCTGTACTGACATATTGTGTGAGGAAAAGCATGAAGCGTGCACCACACCAGCACCCTCTGACGTAAGACACGTCTAATTTCAGACAGCAGAGGACTTAAGTGCCATTGGTGTCGGTGTGTGAATGGTCACATAGCATTAAAATCGTGTTAAGACCTTGGTTATGTGAACAAGAGAAGCTGCTGCCTCTACCAGAATAGTTCAGGCAATTTATTCAGCTAATGTTACGGAATGTCTGTATGAAAGAACCTCTATACCAACTTAACCCCTCAGCGTGTTCGGAGTTTCTTCTACTTTCCTGGATTCCCTTAATGTTTTTAACACTCTGGATCATATTCCTGCCTGAAAGTAAAGTGTTTCAATTGTCCTATTGTACCTGTCGATGAAATATTTTAAGCTACTCCTTGTGATGGAGAGGACAGTTAAAATCATGCTATATATTCTCTAAACTCTTCTTGTAGCTGGTAATAGTATGTGGTTTTGGTTTGTCTTTTGTCTTGAACTGCATGTTACATACAGATTGGGTGTCCTACCATAATAGCATATTAGTTAAGGTATATTGAAAAGCAAATTTTGCGAGTATGCAAGTATTTAAGCATGGAATAGAAATAATTGGAAAATATACATGTTTGGAGAAAGTTTTCCACTAATATAAAACTCATATTATCTAAATTTGTGGTACAGGTTTAGCCCTGCTAGCGGCATGGTTCTAGGGATCAATGTCAGTTGGTCGGGTTGGTGAGTACAACACTTTGCTCCAGTCTGTTGCATAGATTGCCTTTCACATCTTTCATGTTTCCCAGAGGATGAATCCTGATGACTTTGGCCATCCCCTGACTTTTCCTTCCCTGTGAGGTTCACGCTTGTGTTTTTGAGTGAAACGTCTTGACAACTACTGGATAGATTACCTTGAAATGATTACTTTTAGGCATACCAGGAACTATCAACTCTAATAAACATTTTCTCAACTACAAAAGAAGTAAAAAGAAAGTAACTCATATAAATATCTTGCATGAGAGTTCTGTGACAAAGAGAGAAAGACAGGTAGACAAAAAGCTCAAAATGTGTTTGATTGAAGAATCTTTTCATCTTTCACTAATAGGTAACTTTGACATCAGGGCTTGTTATCTTCGAAACGTTGGTTTCCTGCTGTAGTGAATCCTAAATGTCAAAATTGATCCAGAACACACACACACACACACACACACACACACACACACACACACACACACAGACACACACACACTATTGTGTATTTTAACATGCACTTACATACATATTGTTACCACACAGCCTTGGCCTTGTCTGTGAGCATAGGTGTCTCCTCTCTGGCCCCTCAGACATGCTTTGGTTTTTGGCTTGATTAACCACTTAGTTCAGTCTCTCAGACACAAGATTGCAGGGAAAAAGCAAGTAATGAAGTGCTTTTGAATTTGCATTCCTGAGAGCTTTCACAGACGCCTTGATTTCAGTCTGCCTTTGCTGTTTGTTCTTCGTCGAGAGATGTCTGCTATTTTAACGGTAACACGTAACAAGTGTCCATCCAACCTCCTCCATAT